ATCTTTGGGCACAGATCTTGCTCTGGTTCTGAAAGAAGTCATAAGAGTGGACAAGAGAATGACCTCAATAGCCTGTTCCATGGCCCTGCTCCAGGGTGTTCCATCTGTAATTATCCTTTTTAATTCAGGGAGCTACTAAACTGTGATGAGATTCCTGGAGTGGCTTAAACTCCCCATCTTGTACGATACCAGAGAAAGAGACACCTCTTCAGGAAAATGCTGATGGCTTCTTGCTCTACTAAGTAAATGCCACCTGGCCCAGCTGCCTTCTCCATCTCAGGTGCTCATCCACGGGCACATGCCTTTGCTTGGACCAGCTTTGTCCTGGGAGATTTCATCTGCCCAGAAATTGGCAACTCTTAAATTCCAAGAATTAGATTGTTGAGGTGTTTTAAACTTCATGTATTGAATTATCGCAAGACAAGTGACAGAAAGCGAGCAAGAGTTAATTATGTGACAGGGAGAGAAAGTGCCACTGTGCAGCAATCCTTTCAAAGGCAAACAGAAATATTTATAGACTCAGGACTGCACAACTTACCGCGCTCTGACTCGAGATGTGCTACTGATTCACGGGGCAGCACTTTCGGATGGGGCTCTGGTGTGGGCCACAGCTCTGCTGAAAGGTAGGTCTCACCTCAAGCTGCGTTCATAGGCAAGTGCTAATGAGAGAAAATCTGGTAGGATTTTGTCAAATCAGAGTTTAAAAACATCCTGGTGATGTCCTCTTTTCAGTGCCTCGGTGGATTTCCTTTCTGCGTGGCTGGCAGAGCGGCTGTGAGCGCTCACTGAGGTGACCCCAGTCCACACCACAGCACCAGCTCTGTGGGGACAGTGCCCCGGCCCCTCCAGATCTGGGGCACACGCACAGCTTGTGCAGGTGCTCATTTCTCAGGTGATTTCCCACCACACCACAATACTCCTGTTCCATTCTGCCTTCCAAGCAGAGCTGCAAAGTGCAGAAACTGGGAGACAAATACGAGCCTGAGATCAAACGCAATCAACATCTGCAAGCAGCCAGCCTGCAGTCACCCTCCTGTGGGACACTCCCTGCCCTCCCACGCTGCTCCCAAGGGTTATCCTGTGCAGAGCCACCCTTGGTGGGCACAGCCTCAGCTGTGTGCCCTTCCACAGCTCTGGGCCAGGCCTGGGCTACTGTCACTATTTTCAGGAACTGACTAATCCTGACAGGAGTGGGAAGAATCTGCTGTTACCTGCAGAGGACAGAGGGAAGGAGATAATTCATTCCCATCCCCAAAGCAATCCCTGCAGGCAGGTTTTGAGTCAGATTTCCAATCATCTGCCTTTGGAGACCACCAAGCAGATTTTAAAGAAATCTTTATCTTTTTAGCAGTAACATAATAGTAGTGGAAATTTAATAAAATTCACCATCAAATATTTATCCCATTACATTGGCTTAAGTAATTTAAGATGCTGAAATCAACATGGTGGGTTTATATTTAATGAGCCTTGTGTTAAACAGCCACTTCCATCCTTGTCAGGTGTGTAGAGAAGACACTTGCATTCACTCAAAGAATTTTTATCTCCCCAAAGATATGGTGTTAAATAATGTACAACACTCACCAAAATGTTACCTGTCACTGGTGGAAAATCAGGCTGGGGCTCGGTGAGCCTGATGCTCACTGGCATGTAGGACAGAGGAAGGGCATTTTTAAATTATTATTATTTTAAATCTAACAAAGCAAATTATGCTGAGAGCAGCCTGGGCTCAGCTTTTGGATGAAGTTCAGCCTTGCTGAGTGTGGTGTTCCCAACCTGTCCCTCTGACAGCTGGGAAGGGTGGCAATGCCAGGACCAGGCTCAGCTGTCTGCAGGCAGAGGGAGGCTGGAGGAAACAGGGAGAAGCTGTTTGTTCCTAAGATCCCCTGTGCCAGCTGGGAGCAGCACACTCAGAGCTGCAGAACACAACTGCCCCAGCTCCCTGGGGTGCCCAGCAAAGCAACCAGGCAAAATCTGAACATCTCTCCCATGGAGAAATGCTGGGAGAACAGGAGAGTATCCAGCCTGGAGAACAGGAGGTTCTGGGGAGACCTTAGAACCCCTTCCAGAGACTAAAAGGGATCCAGGAGAGTTGTAGAGGACAATGGACAAGGGCATGGATTGACAGGACAAGGGGGCATGGCTTTAAACTAAAAGAAGGGAAATACAGGGAGAAATTCTTCCCTGTGAGGGTGGTGAGGGGCTGGCACAGGCTGCCCAGAGAAGCTGTGGCTGCCCCAGCCGTGGAAGTGTCCAAGGTCAGGTTGGGCAGGGCTTGTAGCAGAGTGGTCTAGTGTCTGGTGTCCCTGCCCATGGCAGGGGGTCGGAACGGGATAAGCCTTGACGTCCCTCCATCCCCAACCATCCTGTGCCTCCCTGAATCGGTTCTCCTGGCAGGAGGGCGGATAGGCTTGGTGGGGGCTGAGCCTCTCCCACGGGAACCAGAGAGAACTCTTTGTCCCTCCTTTATCCCGTGTCCTTTATCTCGCCACGTCCCCCCATCCTGCCCATGTCGCCCATCCTGCGTGTCCCGCGTGTCCCCCGTGTCCCCCGTGTCCACGAGCGGCGCGGCCACACCGCCGGTCTCACACTGACCCCCAGCGTCGGGCGGCGGCTGAGCCCGAGCTGCTACCCCGGCCGGGGACTTCGATGGGAATTAAACCCTAATTAAACCCTAATTGAAGCCTGTAGCAAAGCGACGTGACAAAGCGGGAAACAGAGGGGCGGGAGCGCCTGTTCCCACGGCTACAGTTACTGCAGCTGTTAAACTGAGCCAGAAAAAGGTTTCTGTAGCTGATGCTTTTTAACAGCCTGGCCAAGTTGCCAGTAAATCATTAAAATCCAAGTAATCAGTCTCCTGAAGCAAAGGTAAGGATTTGGACCCAGTGAGATGCTTTGTGCTGGGAGAGATTGACTGGTGGTTTGTGAAACACTTTAAAAATCAATATGCCAGGAGCAAGAGGAGTTTAGGGAGGGCAGGAGACCTGGGGCAGGTGGAATTCACTGGGCAGTGTTCAGAGGTGCCTTGGGAAGGATTTGCCAGGTAAACACCAGAGATTGTTACAAGAAGTGCATCAATAACAGGGAGACAAGACCATGAGCAGCAGGGCTTCAGGCAAGGGTTTAGGGAAGAGTCCTGGCAGGGCTCCAGTGTCTCCAGCTGTACCCATCACAGCAAGCCTGGTGCCAAACAGCCCCTCAGACAGGTACTGCATCCCCCCAGTCTGGGCTGGGTTCTCTGCACTCACTGTTCTCCAACATTCCTTATGGTTTATCATTAACGAATGTCACAGGTTTCCTCTTTGTTGCTCTTTCTCACAAAGCCCACGTACAGCTCTGTCGTGTTAATTAATTTCTTCACATACTGCCTTTCCACATTTGGTCCTTGATAAAACACTTGCAAGAAATCCAAAATAAGACTCAAAGAGATTTCTCACATGGCAAGCATTAAGTTTCATTATGTACCGTAAATTCCCTGTGATTTCTGAGTCAAGGTTCACCAGCTCCTGATGTGAGCACTCCTCTGTGATGGAAATGAGGGGTTTATTCCATATGAGTGGTGCAAAGGTCTTCAGGTCAGCAGTGCTCAGGGCAGCTGCATCAGAGGGCTGCAGATCCTTGTGAATATTCAGTTTTAGGTGGGGTGTCGAATCCCAGAGAATTTCCCAGGACAGTGCCTCTGTGAGCCCAAAACTTGTAGTTCATAGAATCATGGAATCACAGAATGGTTTGGCTTAGAAGGCACCTCAAAGATCATCCAGTTCTAACTCCCTGCCATGGGCAGGGATACCTTCCTTAGACCAGGTTACTCAGAGCCCCATCCAGTCTCAGTGCTCACCAACATTACCTGAGCTGGCACGACAACACCATGTCGTGGAAGGGAAACATTTTTAAACAATTAAACATTTTTTCTTTAAATCTTCAGCACAAGACCAACTCTTCCTGCTGAGGAGGCAGAGGAGGCAGCCAGAAGGATGTAGCAGGGAGCAAGGCTCCTGGTACTGGTTATTGGGAAATGGATTCTCCTCCTGCTTTCTCCCCAGAAGAATTCAGCCACTTGAACTCAACCCACCTTTCCCATGGCAGGAAAAGGACAGCCAGCACTCCTGACGGATGGCTGTTCAGTATGATAGACCTCACATTCAACAGTTAAAGCCAGCATGTTTACAGGCAACATTTCTTTTGGCTGCTGTCCCTGGCATGTCAGTCATGTTTAGCCAAATGAACTGGGAGGATTATAACAGACAGGGACACTGGTGCAAGTGACAGGCGCAGAGACAAGTGCTGCAAGAAGCTCATTTGCACATCGAGTTTCACAGCCCGGCTCTCCCTTCCTGCTCCATAAGCTCATCAGCTGCTGCTGCAGAGCCGCCAGTTTTCACAGGAATGATGGAGCTCACAAAACCCCTCTTTTTATTTTTTCTTCCCTGCCGGCTTAGACAACAGATTCTAAAATAACCCATTTTTTTTTTAATATTGAGAATAGGCCCCCTTTTATGTGGAAATGTGGGTTTAATGTAAATAGCTTGTGCTTCTCTGATTCTCTCTGAGGGCTGCTGGCTGTTGGCAGTCCCCCTGTCGCCTTTCAAGTCACTTGGGAGTCAGTGCTGCTGAGATGGGGATGGATCTCAGAGGGATTCACAGTCTCTCCCGGGTGCTTCCTGCGCTATGTGACAGTTTTTATCTCAGCCGTATTGCAGAATATGCAGCAACATCTGCAGCTGTGAAATTGTCACCACCTACCCCCAAAATGATGGGGGAAATAGGACGAATGTGACATGAGAGTTCTGGAGGGAGCCCTGCCATCCCAGCTCCATCTAAGCTGCTGTGTCCCTTGTGACTATCCAAGGCCACCCCACAGAGCCTCACGTGCTTGTAGTTGTGTACCTCACCCCACATCAGGCCACCAAAGGTTACAGGACTGCTCAGGGCTTTGCCACTCCATTCTCAGTGCTCAGTCACATCATCTTTCCAAAGCAGCATAAAACCCAAGCAACATACAGTGTTGTGAAAAGTATTTATTAGAATTGTCAACATTAAATTTTCCTCACTATTTTCAGTTTGTTGTGGAAATTAAAACAAGAACCACGTTTTCCAGCTGCAGAAATGCTCTTTTCAGCCAGTTTTAGTCTGCGGCTGTTTACAAGACAGTATAAGTTTTCACTGCCTAATAAAAACAATCATCTGTATTCCATGGCTGCAAGCAACAACACTGTGAGAGAGTGGAGCAAGGAGGTTTTGGAGAAGAATATGAATTATCTCACCCAGAGAACAAAGCACAGACGGACCCTGAGCACGGAGGGAAATTGCACAACAACGTGCAGACAAGTCTCCAAACCTGCATGGTTTAACTGGGGGATTTTATACTTTTGAGAAAAAATGTATTTCTTGAATATCCCCATAGGTACAGTCTTGCCACTTATTTCTGCGATTTAAATTGTTGCTTCTGTTTTTTAAGGCCAAGCTGAACGGACAAGCATTTAATCAGCCAAGTTGGATGGAGGAGCACAGGTACCACTGAGACTCGTGGGACGACTCTGCAATGAGCAAGAACATTAAAGGCTGCTATAAAGAAACAAGCTCCTGTGCCCTCAGATGGACAGAATTATAAAAATCCCCACAACATCCCCAGAGCACTGAATTAACTGGAGAAGGAGCTGTGTTTAATATGATGGATGGAGCCCATGGGCCCCATCGTGGGGATGTGGCCGTCAGGGCACCAGTACCTGCCATTGCTCCCCGCAGCACCTCCCTGGGAACATCAGACAGGATAATTACGTACTTAAATCTGGGTGCTTTACTACACAGAAATTCATCTGCTACCCTCAGAGTCCTTGAAGTTAAAGAGGGATTTGAGTTACTGACATAATTTGTTCCCCGAGGGCTGTGGAAAGCAGAGAGAAGCACATCTGAATAATAACTCTCCGACCACGTCTTGAATGGGAGCAAGCGCTGCTCCAGACTGAGACACAATGGGAAGCAAATGATTTCAAATGTTTATAGGCTGCATAGTTCTCAGGCAGGATGGGGTTGGGTTTTTCCCCAAGCAGCAGCTGGGAGGGCGGTCAGTAAGCTCCCTTCAGAAACTGTAATTGCAGCCTTCCAATACTTGAAGGAAACTTGTAAGAAAGATAAAGCAAGACTATTTACTGAAGCATGTAGCGACAGAACAAGGAAGAATGGGTTCAAACTGATAGAGAATAGGTTTAGATTGGATACCGGGAAGAAATTCTTGGCTGTGAGGCTGGGATGACCCTGGCACAGGTTGCCCAGAGAAGCTGTGGCTGCCCCATCCCTGGAAGTGCCCATGGCTAAGTTGGATGGCACTCGGAGAAAACTGAGATAGTGAAGCCCATGGCAGAGGGTGGGACTGGATGATCTTCAAGGTCTCTTCCAACCCACCCCATTCTGTGACCTGTGAAGAGCTGCTTTGTGCTCACGTTGCCAAGGCTTCCCTTTAGGTGATGCTGTCTGTGGTCCAAGCCGGGGGCTGCTGTGTGTGAGGGGCTGCTGCGTGTGAGGGGCGGCTGTGTGTGAGGGGCTGCTGCGTGTGAGTGGCACCTGCGTGTGAGGGGCTGCTGTGTGTGAGGGGCGGCTGTGTGTGAGGGGCTGCTGTGTGTGAGGGGCGGCTGTGTGTGAGAGGCTGCTGTGTGCGAGGGGCTGCTGT